TGGTTACCCACTCATGGTAACCCCACGCACAGCTGAATTAGACCATTGTCATCCACAGGGTTTTCTTTGGCTGGTTTTCTGAAGTAGATGCTCAGGCCTTTCTTCCTGGTTCATCTTATCTGGAAACTGCTGAAACCTGTTCAACATCACAGCAACATGCAAGCCTGCACTCACACATGTGTGGTGACTGCACATGAGGTGCATTGGTTAGGAACTTGACCCGTTTCCCACGTGGGAAATGAAGATTCCTATGTAAGTTAGCCGTGTGTAAGTTTCCATTTTATCTTGCTGATATCCATTATTGTTCCTAGCCGACAAAATTCAAGCAATAAAAACCATCGTTAGCATTTGTAAAGGACTTCAGGGTACAACGATATGTATGAGGATAAGTCAAAGAGTCTTGCTACAAAATCATACAACTCTTTATGAAGCAATATTATCGAAGGGTGACACTGGCGCTTCCATCTTTCCTCAAAGAACTCTGTGTCAATTGACACCACGTCAAAACAGCAGTTTTGGCATCCTCACGGGCCTCCGATTGTGTTCCTTTTCGATGTTCATGAGCACAGGGGACAACAGAGGCTAAAGGGGCAAGATGGGAGCTACAGGGCAGCTAGGTAACGAGTCCCAGCAGCATTCTCACCGGACAGCCGCTGGGACGCTCCGAGAATGAGAAGGTGCTTTATCGCGATGGAAAACATTCCTCAGCCCAACTTTCTTGCCCTTTTTTCCACCAGTACGGTTTTCAACTTCCTCATAATCCACGCCCAGGATTGACCTGTGTCCTTTGAGAAAATTCCTTTGGAGTTTCTCCCGCCCTCCCCCACCCCTCTCACAAAGTTACTGTAACTTTCTAAACTGACCTCTCTGCTTTGAATTGAACTGGCCGAGCTGACCCTCTCAAGAGCCTGCTTGGATTGGAGCTTGCTTTCTTGATTGTATTGGTAAATAGAAGACGCATCCCTGGCTATGATTTGTTCCATAATAGCATCTTTGTGATCTTCTATCTCCCTTAAAAGACTGGTGGAAAGATCGGCGGTTTGAGCTAGCTGTTCTGCAGCAATACTTTTGGCACCCACCGAGCTTGCTGAGGCCAAGAGACTCATTGAATATTGAAAATGCCCCACCCCGTGAAACCTCAACTTCAGGAGCGATCACATCAATGGTACTTCTCCCATCTTCTTCCACCATTTCTGGACTTCAGCCCCAGTCTTCAGTTCTTAAGGCTGCTGGTTTGCCCACTCTTGGCTATTCTTTGAGCTCTTCCTGATCTTACGTCAAATTTTTGATCCATCTAAAAACTATTATTTTATGTGGGTGGCATGCCATAAACGTATTTCAAAGCATTAATGACTTGAGAAGATGTCCACTTGAGTTGTGTTAAAAATTTAATATTAGCACTGACCTCAAAATCATTTGGGTTTTACTTCCATGGCAAAAAAGTTTCATTTTTTCATTTTTAAGGCACACTGGTAAGATCAAGACATTTGTATTAGTGAACAAACTTGTCTGCCCTCATCCCCTGGGCACAGAAAAATGTTTGACGTGTGTTTAGAACAAACCCATGCATATATGGACAGAACCCTAAGAGGGCCATCGTGGCAGTACTTTTTGACTTGCCTTCACATGGTTATTAAACACACCAACAACTCAAGAAGAAGGACTATATTGCCCTTAGCTTGCATATTAAGAAAGTAGACTGGTTTGTGCAAAATCAAATAGCCAGGGACTAGCCCCACTAGAACTCAAAGTCAGGACCTCTTATTTAGAGTCTTAAATTCTTTTTTATTATGCTGTACCATATCATTTTGGATTTAGATTCTATCACCTCACCCTCAGCTTTTCCTTAGATCTTCTATTTTCTGTAATGGTTACCTCTAGGTCTTCCATGTCATCAAATGTCTATTCAAACATGGAACAGGACAGATGTTGGGGACTCATCATGATGAGCATTGGTCCACCTTTTCAGAGCCTGGTAGACGAAGAGCTAAGACTGGGCAGATGGGGATAGGAGATACTAGAAAGATCTGAAGCCAGGGCCATGAAATTTGAACACTTCAAGGTATTCATATTGATTTTCTAGGATGTGTTGAAGAAAAGTTAATAATAACTGCCATTATTCTTTTTCTTTCTTTCTTTTTATCATAGAATAGAAAGACACAGATGGGGAGTCACCAGCCTAAAATAATGGTAGCATAATTATCATTCACATCCCTAGCAGCCTCTCATTTCTGTCCTTCGCTCTACCCTAGTAGATAGGAACCTCTCACCATTACTTACCTCTTACAGACCAAGCAGGAAGGGATGAGTCAACCAGGGGCAGTACAGCACTGATGAAACACACAATGTTCCTTGAGGTTTCCTCACACACACACACACCATCATGACCCCAGTCCTGCCTTTAACTGTGGGCTAGACTGAAGCATGCACACATATACACATGTACAGATAAAAGATAAAAGCTCAAAACATACAAAATCCAGGAACAGGAATGGAAGTAGTGAAACCAGGAGGGGAGGGGGAAGGTCGGAAGAGCAGGGGGAACCAATTACAATGATCAACACATCACCATCACCACCACCACCACCACCCCCAGGGGGATGAACAACAGAAATCGTGGGGGAAGAGAGACAGCGGTCGGTGTCAGATATGAAAATAATAATAATTTATAATTTATCAAGGGCTCATGAAGTAGGGGAAGGGAAAAAAGAAAAGCTGATACCAAAGTAGAAAGTAAATGTTTAGAAAATAATGAAGACAATATATATACAATGATGTTTGATACAATTGATGTATGGATTGTTATAAGAGCTGTAAGAGCCCCCAATAAAATGATCTTTTAATTAAATAATTAAAAGCAAAAGCCCTAAAAAGAGAGAAGGAGCTTGGGTAGCACAGTGGTTATGCTAGGGATGCTAAACTGAAGGTCAGCAGTTTGAAACCACCAGCTGCTCCAGCAGGGCTTTCTCCTCCCATAAAGAATGGCAGTCTCAGAAACCCACAAAGGTAGTTCTGCCCGGCCCAAGAGGGTGGCAACGAGTTGTCATGATGCAATGGCAATGACTTTGGGAGTTTTCCCCATATAGACAAAAGACGTTTTGTTTTTGTTTTTGAAGGTTTGAAACCAGTACCTCCTTGAACTAACTACAAGCTTTTCTTTCTTGGGGTGTTATAATTTGTTCTTTGTTAGTGGTTTGTTGTTGTTGCTGTTTTGTTGTACATTGTTGCTTGGTTTTGCTCTGTCTTGTTTTTGTGCATGCCAGTGTCTCCGCAGGTCTGTCTGGATAGGATAGGCTGGATGAACAATCTGGAGGAGAAAACAACGGGACC